CTTGTGTGCTTATCCTACCTCACCTTCATGCTACCAATACTAATTATGTTGCTGTTGTTGAGTACCATTGAATCAGTTCCAACTCATACTGATAGGGTTTCTGAGGAGCGGCTGGTAGGTTTGAACCTCTGACCTTATGATTCAAATAACCTTGCTGTCCAGTGCTTTATCCCACAACATTGTCCCAGGACTCCATACTAGTTATTGTTGTTGTTGTTAAGTGCCGTCGAGTCGGTTCCGACCCATAGCGACCCTGAACAGGGTTTCCGAGGCTGTAAATCTTTACGGGAGCAGAAAGCCTCATCTTTCTCCCACGGAGCAGCTGTTAGTGTCGAACTGCTGACCTTGTGGTTCACAGCCCGGTTTGTAACCACTACGCTACCAGAGCGCAAATGATCAATAAATATTCACTATAACTAGTATGGTATAAATATTCACTCATATGGATGCGAAAGCTGGACAGTGAATAAAGAGGATCGTAGAAGAATTGATGCCTTTGAGTTGTGGTGTTGGAGGAGAATACTGAGGGTGCCATGGACTGCCAAAAGAACCAATAGATCTGTTTTGGAAGAAGTGCAGCCAGAGTGCTCCTTGGAGGCCAGGATGGCTAAGCTTCGTCTCTCCTACTTTGGACATGTAGTCCGGAGGAAACAATCGTTGGAGAAGGATGTCATGCTGGGTAGGGTGGAGGGTCAGAGAAAAAGAGGAAGACCTCCAACGAGATGGATCGGCCAGGTGGCATCATTGATGGACTCGGGGGTGGCAGCGGTGGTGAGGTTGGCCCAGGATAGAGCATTGTTTCGTTCTGCTGTGCATGGGGTCGCTATGAGTCGGTTCCGACTCGATGGCACCTGACAACAACAACAACATACCATACTAGTTATAGTGAATATTTATTGATCATTTGCTAGATGCACCAACCATAGAAAGTCATATCTTAATCATTACAGTTCTCAAAGGCCTTTCCATCGCTGAAGATTTATAAACCTGTCAGGTCTAATAAACATTTGTAGACCCCTTTAGTACCTCTAGATGGAGTTCTGTTGTGGCACTGCAGGATAATGCACTGGACTGCAAAGTCAGCTTGAACCTCAAGGTTGGCAGTTCAAATCCACCAATTGCTCCTCAGAAACCCCATACAGGGGGAAGACACCCAGTGAGATGGATTGGCAAGATGGCAGCATCAATGGGCTCAAGAATGGCAACAATTGTGAGGCTGGTCCAGGACCGGGCAGTGTTTCGTTCTGTCATGCATAGGGTCCCTATGAGTCGGTACCAATTCAATAGCATCTAACAACACAAATGTTTTGGAACCCACTCAATGGCACTTAACAACAACAACAGTAACTTCAAGTACTAGAGGAGGATTGGGAAAAGATGAGAAAGGTGCTGAAAATACAGGTAAAATCCCTGCCTGTAAAGAACTCTCAATTCAACAAGGGAGACAGAAGTAGAAACTATAATCCATGGCAGAATAAGATCAATAACTAAGGACAGAAAGAGCTTTGGGAGCAGTACAGAGGAAGTTGTGATTAGTACTGAATAGGTAAGAAACACATGGAAGGCTCCATGAACAAGGTAGTATTTGATGTGGATTTTTAAATGAATCAGGCTGCGAGCCGCAAGGTCAGCAGTTTGAAACTACCAGATGCTCTGCAGGAGAAAGATGAGGCTTTCTGCTCCTGTAAAGATTTACAGTCTCGGAAACCCTGTACAGGGTCGTTATGAGTCGGAACCAAATCCACGGCACTTAACAACAAAAATAGCATTTCCAAGGTATTTCCAAATCTATGTTGTTGTTAAGTGCTGTCAAGCCAGTTCTGACTCATAGTGACCCTGTATAGGGTTTCCAAGGAGCAGCTCGTGATTTTGACCAGCTGACTTACAGTTCAAACCGACCTTGCAGTGCAGTACTTATTCTACAGCTCCATACCATTCCTATAAACAGAGGAAAGGGCATTCAATACCAGCATAAGCAGAGGTCAGGAGCCTTGGAGATCCATGACATGTTAGAAACACTCTCTCATATATGTGGTTAGTGCTGCAAGTGGGTGAAGGAGAGAACTGGATGGCAGGGAGTTTTGTGTCAGATCTTGGAATGTCTTCAGTGATGAGCTACAGTGTTTGGATTTTCTTCTGTAGATAATGGAACACCACTGACTGTTTCTGAGGTGGAAGCAAATGTGTTTTGCTGAGAAGCTTTTAACAAGAATCAAAGTTAAGGAGAGGCAACATGGCAGCATCCAGTTCTGGAGATCCTCTAGATGCTAAGGGTAGAAAGGGCCTGATGGCTCAACACATCAACCCAGCTCCAGAGAAATGGACTCCCGTGCAGCTGCAATTCATGCAGCAGGTGCAACTTCACCCAGGAGCAGAAGATGCTGCAACAGCGATGGACCGGGAACATCGTAGCTGGCCTGGGCATCAGAGCCCTGGTGCTTGCTATTTATGGTTACACCTTCTACCCAGTATCCCAGGAGTGTTTCCTAGATGAGCTAGAGGACAAGACCAAAGCTGCTAAAGCCTGAGTCCTGGCTAGAGCATCAGGCCCCTGATCCTGATGGTTACCACACATCTCCAACCTACTTGGCGTCCTTTACCAGCCGGATGATATTCCATTATTTGTAGAAAATTAAGCCTGTTCACAGTTTTGTTGGATTTACTAACCTCATACCATAACTGAACCCAAGAAGCCAGGGACTTATGCATTCAGTCATCATAAAAGGAACGATGTGCCCCCTCGTATTCAGTGTGTGCAGTGACCAAGTCCTTCCTGTAGTTTGTTTCCGTGTTTGACAAATGTGCAACCCTGGTTTTTCCTAACAGCTCTGACTGATTTACCTCTTTCACATCTAAAAGGGGGATGACTGTTACGTGGGTGAGAGGTGGCAGCTCCTAGCAGTATTGGAGCCTGAGGTGGGAGTGTTCAGCCATGTTGAGAACAATAAATTGACTCACTCTTCCTGAAAAAAAAAAAAAAAGAATGAAAGTTAGATTGGAAAGGTAATAATAACATTTGCTGAATGTTAACCGTGTGCTTATCATTGTTCCAAGCAACTTGCATTCTGACACACTCCACCCTACTCATGTATGAAGTACATTCAGTAACTACCGCATTTTACAGATGGGAAAACTAAGGAAAAAAAAGTTTTACCAGCTGGTTTACAGTCACACATCCGGTTAATGGAAGGTCCAGCATTATAACTTAGAAGTCCTCTCTGGAGCTGTAGTTAAGTTATCTCACTGCAACACCCCCTCAGGGACCAGTTAGGACCCTATCACAATAGCACCTATGAGAGATGATGAAGAATTGCATTAAGACTGTTGTTAAGAGCTGTTGAGTGGGTTCCAACAGAAGAAACACAGCCCAGTCCTGCACCACCTTTACTGTTATGTTTGAGCCCACTGTTGCAGCCATTGTGTCACTTCCTCTCATTAAGGGTCTTTCTTCTTTCTCACGGACCCTTTACTTTACCAAGCATGATGTCCCTTTCCAGAGACTGGTCCCTCAGGATAACATGTCCAGAGTATGTAAGACAAAGACTCTTCATTCTTCTGGCTATCCCTGGTATATTCAATATTCTTCGCCAACATCATATTTCAAATGCATCAAATCTTCTCCAGTCTTCCTTATTCATTATCAATCCTTCCCATACATATGAGGCAATTGAAAACACCATGGCTTAGGTCAGGTGTGGCTTAGTCCTCAAAGTGACACCTTTGTTCTTTGACACTTTAAAGAGGTCTTTTGTAACTGATTTACCCAATACAATATGCTGTGTGATTTCTTGACTGCTGCTTCCATGAGTGTTGATTGTGGACCCAAGTAAAATGAAATCCTTGACAATTTCAGTCTTCTATCCTCTTATCATGATGTTGTTTATTGGTAAAGTTGTGAGGATTTTTGTTTTCTTTACATTGCACTGTAATCCATACTGAAGACTGTATTCTTTGATCTTCATCAGTAACTACACTGAAGGGGTCACCCTAAAAAAGCTAAGCTGGAGACAGTGAAGACCTGATCGAGGGACAGGATGGAGAGATGAGTATAAGGGAACAGAGAGCTTCCACAAAGAGAAAATGGTCTCCTAGGGCCTAATGGTGAAGGAGCTCTGGTAGCGTAGTGGTTATGAATCGGCCTGCGAACCTTAAGGTCAGTGGTTCGAAACTACCAGCTGCTCCGCGGGAGAAAGATCAGGCTTTCTACTCCTGTAAAGATTTACACCCTCGGAAACCCTGTACAGGGTCACTATGGGTCAGAACCGACTTGACGGCACTTAACAACAACAACAACAAGGGCCTAATGGATTAGGATTGAGAAGAGAATGGTAGATTTGGGGTTCAGAAGGTCATGCTTCCAGTAATGCAGGAGAAATTTCTAAAATGTTGGGAGAAACCTTCCAAATCAGGTTCCCCATATCAGAGACATAAGGTAGAACCTTCCAAAATAGACTTCCCCATACCAGGGTGGAACATTCCAATATAGGGTCCCCCTGTGGGACATCTGAGAGGTTCTCTTCCCATCATCTGAGAGAAAGTAAACTGGGCGAACACTGAAATGTCTTTAGTCTCTACATTCCTGCCACTCTGGAAAATGCTCTTAGACAACATATTCCAGCAATTGAGCTATTAAAAGGGAAACTGAGGCAGGCAATCCTGGAAAGAGTCTCTGATTTTCTTTAGCAACCCATTAGGGTCAATGGAAACCTGTACTTTGATGTTTTGTTTTTGTTTCTTAATCTTCCTTTCTGTCTTCCCATGACACACAGAAATGCAAACACACACATCAGGCATAAGAGGGCTCCTTCACAAGAACATTTTTCTGGATCAGACTGAATGCAGCTGGGAGGGAGGGGATGCAGAGCAGAGGAAAGGAAGGAGAGATGTCAGCCACCCTAGCAACTTTCACTCCCCTTTAAGACTGCCTGGTTACGGTCCTAGGAGAGAAAACCTCTGCACACCTCCCCTTTAATTCGGTTTATTGTTGAAGCAGGGGAGCAGCTAATCTTCACAGACCTGTAGGAGCTGGAGTGGAAGCCCAAGAGCAGCTTCTTTCTGAGCCCCTGGGTAAGAAGGACCTGCTTCTTTTCTTGACTTTAGGGGTTTTCTTGATTAGTGGGAGCTATCTGGTACCTAGGGTCTGTTTTGTGACCTGAATATCCCAGCTCCAGTTTCAGTCTTTCCTGACTCTCATGGTATCAAAGATAAGTTGTAGCTGTCTTGGGAAATAAGTCTGAATGAGGGTCCAGGTAGGATCTCCCTGGAGAGTCATCAGGCCATCACTCCAAAGCTGATGGGCATCCGTCTGCCTTTCTGGGCAGGGAAAGGGGAGCAAAATATCTGCATGCCCCACCTGCAATGCTTGCCCGCTGCATTCCAGTGACAATCCTATGGGGCTTTGAGTCTGGGAGGGATGGTCATCCACAGTGTCGGGGGCTCCAACTCTCCCTCATCTTTTCAACAACCTTCATCTCTTAACCTCTCTGACACCATCTGTCAAACGGGGTAATCATGTTCACTCTGCCTATATCTTGGGATTGTTGTGAAGGGGTCAAAAAGGAGGTTTATAAGCAGCTTGTGGCTCTGCACAGCCAAGCAAAAATGAGTAGCCTCCTTCCCTCCTGGCAGGGTCCTTGGTGGGGCTCCAGGCTGTAAGTCTCTGGCTGCATTTAGACGCAGAACTCAGACATTGGTGGTGCCTTCAGTCACAAGCCCACTCCTTCACCTTCCCCAGGAGCATATCTGTCTCCCTCTGTCTTTAAACTTCTTTAGTTTATAGCTCTCATGCAAAGATGTTAACTGGAGGTCTGGCTTTACCACCACCCCACCACCCCTAGCCTCACTGTGGCCCCTTCTTTCCACGTAACTTTGACGCACAAACATTAACCCTGAATCTCCTGGAAGCAGCACTGTTCTGGCTGCAGTGAATGTCTGACCAGTCTCTTGTTCTGGAGCCAGACAAATTGGTCATGAGGAAAATCTCTGAGAAGGGTCCGAGAGTCATGCAGATTCTGTCTTGGGGAAACAGATGATCTTTCCCTGAGATCACAGACAGAGCTGGGTCCCAACGTTCCTACTGACTCATATTTTACCAGAACCAATGAGTAGATCCAGCAGAGAGTTTCCCATTCGGAAATAGATCATGACACAAAGTGCTTAGTAATTCCTGACACAGGACCACACTTTAGAGTTTATAATATGCTTTTAATTCATCATCTATGGACAAGCTCATCAGATTATCTTTTCCCTTATTACAGATGATAAAACTAAGGCACAAATAGGTTAAATGGCATGCCTGGGATTGCAAAACTGATTGCTAGTAGAGCCAGCATTTGAACCCAGATCTTCTGATAAATGCAGTGACTTTTCCATGATACTACACATAGTTATGGTGTGTGTGTGTGTGTGTGTGTGTGTGTGTGTATTAACAGAGCAGTTCAGAAAAATGGGGTAAAACTACTTTTGGAGAGAAGACTGAGGTCTGAATGAGAAAAGGTATATGATGGAGCCAGGAGAGGACATGGTGCCCCTACCTTGATTCTAAGAAATCTGAGTGCTCTCAGGAGTCAGCGATTCCCAGATCATCCAAGCCGTGTTCGAGGTGTGTGTGTGTGTGGGGGGGGGGGGCAGTCAGGTGTTAGGATTGCATGAGAAGATAATAAGGACCCTGGCTGATATAAGTGACATTCTGGAATCCACCTCTAGCAGAGCAACAGGTGATAGATAGGGTGCAGTAACAAGGACGCTGGTATTGGAATCTGATGGCCTGCGGCTCCCAGCTCAACTCTGTCATTGGCTGTTTACTTTGGGGCATCTCACTTAGCATTCTACCCATCAGTTCCTCATAGGCAAAATGGGATTGTTATTATCTACCTTAAAGCTGGCAGTGAAGCATTAAACAAGACAGAGCATGCAAGGTGCAGGTGCCTAGCACAGTGCTGGTCCCAAGCCAGGTACTCATTCCAGGGCAGTGAAAAGTCCCGGGAGCAATTCTGGCTGGAAAGAAAAAGAAATCCCCTGTAAGAGGGGAGTGCTTCCCTCGTTCCCTCTCCCCCATACACACATGCACACAGCCAGAAATAAATTGCCACACGGAGTGTGAGTGACGGTGCCCAGGCACAGCCTGCCAGTGCCTGGCAGAGTGAATGAGCTGCAGCATGAATGAGAGGGGGGAGGGCCCAGTGAGTCTGCAAACAGGCTGCGTGCTTGCGTTACTACCACCACGGGCACAGCACCACCTCGGGCCATTGCGAGGGGCCTGAGAAGAGAATCAAGCCCATGGGGAAGCAGGGGTCTGCATGGAGGATCAGTGATTGTCAAACCTGTGTCCTTGGAGGGAAGACTGGTAACTGACACAGCCCTCTTGGACTCAACCTGCCTTCTCAGATGAAAATCTATTCGCTCACCTTCTGAAAGCCTGTGGAGTTTCCGTTGGAGGTTTTCATGGTCATGAGCACCGCACCTGTACAAAGGAGACACATCTGACATTGGAGCTAGACTGAAAGACAGCATGTGACACACAGTCAACATTACCCTTGAAAACTCCTTCGTTTTCTCCAGCATCTTGCCCATGGAGAAATCCAACACTAGCAGTGTTTCCTCCAGTATTGTAGCAGATGTCTGTTGCCTTGGTTGAGTACCAGATGAAGTACTTGGCTGGCATTGCAGCGCAATGTTGTATGGAAAGTTATGTATCCTTAAACACTAGAATCACAGTAAGATGAGATGCTCACACTGGGAGAGCCATGTGAGAGCTTGGACCAGCTGAAGAAACAGCATTCATGTCTCCTGTCTTATGTTCAGGGATATTGGTGGCTCAGTAGTAGAGCTCTTGACTTCCATGCAGGAGACCCAGGTTGGAGTCCCACCCAATGCAGTTCATGCTCAGTTACCATCCATTTGTCACTGGAGGGTTCCATGTTGGCATTCAAACCCACAAGCTGCTCCAAGGGAGAAAATAAAATGTGGCAGTAGGCTTGCCAAGACTGCAAATCTTTACAAGCACAGACAACCTTATCTTTCTCCTGAGGAGTGGCTGGTGGGTTTGAACCATTGACCTTGCAGTTAGTTGCCCAATGCCTAATATACTATGCCACCAGGACTTTTTGGATAGCACCTTAGAGATAGCAAAATGCTGGCATGCGCACTGATGCACTGGATTTCCAGAAAAAAAAGTTGAGAACTATACAGGGTAGGAATTATTATTCCCATTCAGCAGATGAAGAAAGTGAGACCCAATGTGGGTACTGTTGTTAAGTACTGTTGAGTCGGTTCCAACCCTTAGGGGCCCTGTATAGGGTTTCCAAGGAGCAGCTGGTGAACTTGGACCACCGACCTTGTCAATCACACTGACTTTGCAGTCCAGTGCATTAACCCACAGCACCACATTGATTAAGAACAGGTAGTACAACTGGTCCTAGAAGCAGGCCTTGCTTTCTTCAACAGGTCTGAAGTGTTGACCCCTCAGGCACCAAATTAGATCCTAGCGAATTCTCCCCTCATTTCCTCTGTGAAAGGCACACAATCTACCACAAATAAACATATGATTCTGGCTTATTTACGCACAAAAATGATTTGGGTTAAACTTAAATGTGAATTTGAGTCTGAAATAAGCTTCAGGAAGCAACTGAAAAATCTTCTCCCACAGTGATTTTGTGAACAGAAACTTCTATACAGAGTAGGTATTTTCGATGCAGGATTAGCGGGAGGGCTGGAGAATGTAGGTGATGTTTTATGAAGTTTCTGCCCAGCCTCAAGTCTCTATGAGCCTTTAGGGTCTGGGACCTGGGCTTTGGCAAGCTGAGGAGTCACTTGGATTCCACACACACTAGAAATGAGTTCTGACAGCACACACAGACCCACACGTGTGGTTGGCTGATGGCAGCCTGCTGGGAATGTGGACTACGACTCAAATAAATGGACAGTCATAATGAGTCAGAGGTGGCCTGGTCCACAGTTTCCAGAGTATGCTTTGCAGAACCCTAGATTTGCTGAATGTTAATAGGTGACATGAAAGCAAAGGATTTCACAATCACCAAAGTTGGGATGTGCCAAATTAAACAGCATTATGTAGATTTCTGTAAGAGTCCTTAAAGCCTCTAATAAGCTAAGTGGATCATGGCTTTCCAAGCAGGGGGCCAGACAGGGAGCAATTTCACTCCTATCATGGAAAGTCTCCTGGGAGTCATATTCTAAAAAACAACCTTCGGGGAACCTTAATCTAGTCCAATCTTCTCTGCTCACCTAAGAGAAAGATGGAAACCCAGAGAAGTAGACTGCTCTTCTGGGGGCTGCTCAGCGCCTCAGTGCCAAGCCAACAGGGGAGCAAGAAGGGGGAATCTTTCTAGCTTGCCCTTTAAGCCACAGGTTGATGGCAAGTTCAATATAGGTCACAGTCCAGCAGTCTTGTGGGACCCAGGCAAGAATCCTTCCCAGTTGTATGGCCTTTTATTTCCTTTATATTTCCTGATATAGTTCCACGATTCTGTGTGCCCCTGTCTAGAAGCAGAGACCACATTTTAATTAAAGATGAACCAGCTGATAACCTGCCTCCAAGGCCCACAGACCTTTCCAAGTTCTGCTTCCAAAGAATAGAAATCCCCAGAAGTAGAGATTACATGAAAAGCAGTTTTAGGATGGGCTGATTCCTGTAAGGTTAGTACAGAAAAAGGCAGGGACATCTGCTTATCATGCCCTATGTAGTGCATGCCTCCTCAGAAGTCCCAGGTGAGCACATCCAGAAGTCGGCTGGTTCTTTCCATGGTATAGTCCAGACTCAGCCATTCTCAGTGACTTGGAGACTGCCAGGGAGGTACTCAAAAGACTCACTCCCTGCCTGTCCCTGCTACATTTGGTTTGTCTGAAATGCCGTCACAGAACATAAACCATATCCACTTTAAGAATACAACTGAAGATTTAAGGAGCCCTGGTATCACAGTGGTTAAAATGCTTGGCTTTTAATCAAAAGGTCAGCAGTTTGAACCCACCAGCTGCTCCAAGGGAGACAGACGAGACAGTCTGCTTCTGTAAAGATTGTTGTTGTTGTTAAGTGCTGTTGGGTCCATTCT